AAGCCCCCGACAGCAGCTCCCCACCAGCTGGGGTGGCCCTTTTGTAGGGCAGGGGATTCTCATGTGGCCGTTCTGCTGCCAGAGCAGCCCAGTACTGCCTGAGTGTAGCTGAGAATCAGGCCTGTGATGGCTAAGATCCCAGGGGCCCGGTTGCCTGGGTTCCATCACCCAGCTCAGTACAGGTGGGTGATACAGGAACGTCTCCCTGCCAGGACTGTACAGAACATCCCCTCTTGTGTTGCAGATATTGACGAGTGTCAGGGCCTGAGCCCAGCAGAGTGCGGACCCCACGCAAACTGCACCAATGTGCCTGGGAATTACTCCTGCACCTGCATCGATGGCTACAAGTCCAGCTCTGGGAAAGCCAACTTCACACACGCGAGTGAGAACACCTGCCAGGGTGAGCTCTCCCCTGGCCCCCACCTTTTGTGACCCCCACCACACACACAAATGCTCGTTCCACGCGTGGCGCTGCACCGGGGCTTTTCCCGGCTTTGGCATTGGCCTGAGGCATCAGTGAAGCTGTAATGAGACGTGACCCTCGCCTGCTCCTGCAGAGCATGGGGCCAGGATCACCCCGTACCCGACGCTTGGATGGGGAATAAACAGACCCACGGAGCAAATTCCTTGTGCTGAAGTCATGTGCCGGGGAATGGGGAAGGGACCTTGGCTGGCCCCAGCATCCAACTTTTGGGCTGCTAGTGTGCCCCTGAGCCTGGGAAGGGGCCCCGTGTCTGGGCCATGGAAATAGCTCAGTGCGCTCTGCCCCCTATGGGCCCTGGTGAGGAGAGAATAGCCACAGCACAGTGTGCCCCAGACACTCCCCGATCCTCCCCCATGGGCCCTGGGGGGCAGGGAATAGCTGCAGTGCTGGCAGCCTGGCCTCGGGCCCTACATCCGTAGTTAGGAGCCGGGTGGGGGCAGGATGCCTATAACAGCTCCACTCCAGCTGAGGTGGCCCCTTTTGCAGGGTGGGGGATTCTCGAGTGGCCGTTCCGCTGCCAGAGCAGCCTAGTGCCGCCTGAGTGTAGCTGAGAATCGGGCCTGTGATTATTAAGCTGCTCGGGGCCCAGTTGCCTGGGGCCTATCACTCTGCTCAGCGTGGGGCCTGGAGCGGGGGTGATATGGGGAACGTCTCCCTGCCAGGCCTGTACAGAGCATCTCATCTTGTGCTGCAGATATTGACGAGTGTCTGGGACTCGCTGGAGTAAACTGCGGACCCCACACAATCTGCATCAATGTGGCTGGGAGTTACTACTGCACCTGCAGTGATGGCTACGAGCCCAGTTCTGGGAAAGCCAACTTCAGGCACGCGAGTGAGAACACCTGCCAGGGTGAGCTCTCCCCTCACCCCACCTGCTGAGACCCCCCCTCGCACCCACAAATGCTCGTTCCAGGCCTGGGCTGCACCGGTGCTGCTACCGGTTTTGGCAGTGGCCCGGGGCCTTCAGCGAGGCTGTGATGAGACGTGACCCTCGCCTGCTCCCACAGAGCATGGGGCCGGACTCACCCCTGTGTCCGGCACTTCGATGGGGAATAAACAGACCCACGGAGCAAATTCCTTGTGCTGCAGTGATGCGCTGGGGAGAGGGGAGGGGACCCTCGCTGGCTCCAGCACGCAGCATCTCCACTACTAGTGTCCCTCTGAGCCTTGCAAGGGGCCTCGTGTATGAACCATGGAAATAGCACAGTGTGCTCTGCCCCTATGGGCGCAGGTGAGGAGAGAATAGCCACAGCACCGTGTGCCCCAACCACACCACGAATCCAATCCCCTTGGTCCTGGGGGGCAGGGAATAGCAGCAGTGCTGGGCACCCCGGCCCCGGCCTCGGCCCCTACATGAGTGGCTAAGAGCAGGATCAGGAAAGGACACCGACAGCAGCTCCACACCAGCTGGGGTGGCCCCTTTTGCAGGGTGGGGGATTCTCGAGTGGCCGTTCCGCTGCCAGAGCAGCCTAGTGTCGCCTGAGCGTAGCTGGGAATCAGGCCTGTGATTGTTAAGCTGCCAGGGGCCCGGTCACCTGGGTCCCATCTCCCAGCTCAGTACAGGTGGGTGATAGGGTTACCATATGTCCGGATTTTCCCGGACATGTCCGGCTTTTGGGGGCTCAAATCCCCATCCGGGGGGAAATCCCCAAAAGCCGGGCATGTCCGGGAAAATTGGGAGGCTCGGCCGGGGCCTCTTTGTC